CTCCGAATCATCACATGGAACAACAGTTCTATTATTTTCTTTTTTTGCAAATCCTTTTTTTTTTCTCCTCTGGCGCTCTCCTGCCTGACCCTGACGATTGGCTTTGTCATCTTTCCAGAAAAATCTCTATTTTTCTCTTGCGCGTCCCTCGTGTAGAGGCTATTCCAAAAAATCTGTGCCTCGGCCTCGAGTCCCCAAGAGACGCGTGAGGTCAATGCAAGGTTGCTGCAACGTGGCATGAGGTAAGTGACGCTGTGGTAACGTCGCACAGTAGCCATTTATATATATATATTATATATTATATATCTTATATCTTATATATCTTATTTATACATATATATCTTAATATCTTCGCCATTTGTTTCGCCTGGAAGACCTGCATCTCTGCAGCTTCCTGATTCCCGGGAAGAATATTTTCTTGTTCTCCTCTTCTAGGAGCCTGGAATTTTTTGTCCTGGTATCGCCTATTACCTTTCTTGAACCCCTTCCTGCAGCAAAATTCAACCTCCTCGTATTCGTCTCTGAGAGCATCAACAGCTACGAAACTTGGTATACATCTTCCTCTCTCACATACTACAGAATGGCTCCAGCAAATGTGAAGCTCCATCTCCTTGGTTCTGTGGAGAACACTGAATCTCGTTTCAGGAGAATGCGAATTTCGTTCCGTTCCCCCCTCCCACCTGGTAGCCACTCCTGGGGGGGGGGGGGTCTGATATGTGGTGTGATATGTACATATCTTATCCGGACATCCCTGAATTAACAGGATGGCGCGTACCATGGATTCCATGCGTCTTGAAGGCAGACCTATTCGACCTCAGACTTTTTCCAGAGGATTCGATAAACGATAGGCGAAACGTTCCACGTTCCATTGAAATGGGTCATGAACGTTCGAATAGGCCTGTGATCGATCCAACGTTACACGTCCTTAACCAGATGCCTCGAAAACCACTGTTCACCCTTAACCCTTAACTGGGAACTTTTGAATGCATATGTGCGGTGATTCCATTGAGAGAAGGCAGGTGGCAGACCGCACATATGCGGCGAGTCCATTTCAGGGGTTAAAGGCTTAATTGGCGCCGTAAGTCGAGAATTGAGTTTCTTTTCAAAAGATAAAAGGTAGGCCTTGGCGTGACATGAAGGCAGTCTGATTGTTAGGCCTAGGACTAGCGTTCGTGAGTCCCAAAGAGAGTCCGGGGGGGAGGGGGTTTGAAGAAAGGGAACGCCGTTGAAAATTGGTTTTCACATTCCTTCATCCACTGATATTGTAGGCTTATGCTTACGAATGCTTATAAGGCTTACGAACTAACTTGAACTAAGTCTTAGGGGAATTCCAACTGATTTGCATGGTGAGATGCATTCGAAAGAACAACATATGCGATTCACAGCAGCGAATTGCAGCGATGCTATTCTAAGGAGCAACATATCTTCTCTGGGGAAAAGAGAGAGAAGATAAGTTGCTCTTAAGAATCGCATCGCAGAGGCTTCTACTGCAGCTGAATTCCAACTGTTTTCCGAACAGTAACTATGCTAATGTGTTACAGTTCGGGAAAATTTACATTTATGAGCGTCATCCATCCTCAAATAGCTAATATCCTCTTAGCCTTCAATAGATGGCACACATTGGAGAGCAAAAACTTCCTGGAGTTCGTGGGTTTTTCAAGGGATTAAATTAAACTGTGGGTCCTTTTTCCAGGCAAAAATGCAGAAAATAGGCATGGCTCTCTATATCTGAAATTGAGGAAATGAAATTCGCTGCGTCAGAAATAACTGGTGGGGAGTGCTGCGAGGAGGATTGGTGTAAGAGAAGATCCGCTTCGTGCCTTCCCCGGAGATCATCCTCTCTCTTCTCCTCACGAGGCAGCTGGACGACGAGGAAGTCATCGTCTGCACGGGTTTCTTGCGAGAAGTATTTCTCTCTGAATGCCTTCCGACCTGATGCCTTAATACGACTAAGTCGTAGTTGCTCTGCCAGGGGTGGAGCAGTGAGACCACGGAAGCGGTCATGGAGACGGAACCCTGCACGGACGAGACCCCGAGAGACGAGACCGGCGGGCGCATGACGCAGGTCGTCGCCATGGATGCCACCAGCAAGCTTCTCTCAGTTCGAGCCATCGGCCATCCTTCGAGAGCTAAACAAGGCGTACGTCGGCTTCTTCAACGGAAACGTCGAGGGAGAGGCCATTGCTGTCAATATGGGAAACTGAGTTTGCGGTGTCTTTCTGCAGCGACGTCAGGTTAAAGTTTTGCGTCCTGCTGATGGCTGCGTCGGAGAATGTTCGCGATCTGGCATATTTCACATTCCATAATCCCCAGCTCAGAGACGACCTCTTTCGGATCCACACATTCCTCGTCCAAAATGACGTCACTCTTGGTAAGAGAAATCTCGACGATATAAATCTCTGAAGGATAGGAAACACTTGTACTTGTACTGGTAATGGAACTTAGCCAAAATTTTGTTCCTTTTATTCTTGCACGGATGATCGGTGTCACGCATTGTTGGATTACTGCAAGAGGACCTTGCACCCCTTCAACTCTTTCCCTTTCTGTACTCTCATCGATGGCCAGGTGAGTGAACAGCTGTCACTCGTTTCTTTTCTTCCTTCTCACGAGAATGAGCAGATCTTGCTTTAAAAGTTTCTTCTCCGGCTGGTATGGAGCAAAACAGGAACCAAAAGGAAAAGCAGGGAATGAGTAGAAGAGAAGAAGGAAGCGATGAGAGATTGCTATCAGTATATTTCTGTCATTGTTATTTTCGTCATCATATGTGCTGTACGACCGGTAAGAAAGATTCTGCACAGATGAAAAAAAACGTGTCAAGGGAATTACTATGGGCAATATAAATTCGCCCGGGGGGGGGAAGGGGGGGGGGGGGGAGGGGGGTTGGAAAAAACGGAATTCCATCGTTCTTAACAATTTGGTGATGGTAATCGTGAAAACATATTTGAGCAAGGTTTATGTGCTTTACTTTCATCACAATTCTTCCCTCTGTCCACCCATTGCAGCTATACAGGCAACAAACTGAATTGTAGAAATATGACACTTTTGCTTTGTGAAATGGAGCGTGCAGAGAGCTATTGAATCGAAATAGCCATCGAGGTCGATGGTTTCAGTAGCTTGGCATGATAATGCCAACCCACTGGGCACTGCCGAGCGTGTTGGTTTGAGTCACTGCTTGAAGTTGGAAGATTTTCCGCCACGAAACTGGAATTCTAATTTTCAATTCTCACCCATCCGTGTTTCTACTATTCATTAAAATGCATTCAAACCTGGGTTCCCGCTTGGAAAAGGTAACTTAAAAAATAGTCGTCCGGCCAGTCCGTAAGACCGTAAGATCGGGTCAAAACCTGCAAGAGTAATTTAAAACTGATTTGAAAATGGAAGCTTAGCGGTGGCTCCGTCTCAGTTCCAGTCCGGTCGTCATCTCATCGAATCTGATACGTGGAAGACTAATGTTGAATGTTGTGCCGGTTATATGTCTCTGTGTCCTGTTTGGCTTGGCAACACTGTGGAGGTGGAAGGGGTGAGGACAGAAGCGCAAAATACGCCATTCCCTGCCACTTCCTTCCGGCATGTGCCTCACCTCGCAGTGTCTCTCTCTCTATAGTGTGTGT